CCCCCCTCCCACTCCAATTTCCCAGCCCCTTCTCGCTTTCACTTATTTTTGAGGTTTTGCTCTATTCAATTCTTCTAGAGTGTATATCTCAAGAACCATCAGAGCTAACAAGAAGTTGTAAACTATAAAAATGTGTAAAATGAAATTTCCCACAGTTTTGTAGTTTACAACTTTTTGTTAGCTCACACCGTTCTTGAGATAAACGCGTTTAAAGTTGAGAAGTTTGGTTCTAGGAGGCGCAGAGAAACGAGACACTCTAGTTGTCGGTGTCTCCTCTTTGTTTTAGGGTTTGAAGGGTGAAAAAAGTTTTTCTCATTTTTATTTCAGTTATTTAGCACTAAAAATCTCAGTTTTCGAAAAATGAGGAAAAATTGGAAAAATGGTTTCATGTTTGTGAATGACCCAAAAACTAGGTTCAAATTTGATTTTTGTGAGACAAGATTTATTTTTTTTGAAATCTACGCATTCGATAACCCCTATGAACTACTTTTCTAGAAATTTGAAGCCCTAAGTGAGAGGGAGAGAGACGCAGAGAAAGCGATAACAATAAAGCGTCGGTGAGCTTGTTGCAGTAAACACGCTCTATCTCAAGAACCATAACAGCTATCAAAACGTTACAAACTACAAAAATGTGTAAAATTAAATTTTCTATATTTTTGTTGTTTACAACTTTTTGATAGCTTTCACTGTTTTCGAGATGTGCGCCTTTAAAGAAAGAGCGCTTACCAGAAAGGCCTGTCTACTTTAAAGGCGCATATCTCGAAAACGAAAAGAGCTAGAAAAAAGTTGTCAACTACAAAAATGAAGCTCTTGATCTGGAATATACTATGACAATTAACAAAACCGTTTACAACGCCTTCAGATCATTGACCCGATTTATGACGTGTAGTGACACCTGGAGACACCCGGAGGGAGACAAATGAAGTGGTGTCTACCTAGTTATTTGATTCATTTACCATTTGTTTCAAAGGACAGATGTGCTAAATAAAACATTTTTCCGACTTTTTAAAATATAATTTTTATCACATAAAGAGTCTCCGCCTCTTAACCTATATCTTTTACGTTAAAAGCGCATATATCAAAAACGGTGAAGGCTATCAAAAATAATTAACTACGAAAATATAGGAAATTCAATTTTACACATTTTCATAGTTAACCACTTTTTGATATCTCTAACGGTTCATGAGATAGAGCGCGTTTACTGTAGCAAGCCTACCGACAAGCTGTCTCCCTCCCTCATAGGGCTAAAAACTTTTAGAAAAAGCGCCCCCGTAGGTTTTCGAGGATGTAGAATTCAAGAATATTTTTAAAAATCAATAAAAATCAACGAGCGATTTGCGCCTTTAAAGGTGGGGGGGACAAGAGATTTTACGGGGGATTTTTGGGGCCAGAGTATGCATTCTACCGTGACGGTGTACAACGCTTAATGTCACTCTGCGTACATCTGTCGTCCTCGCCTTTATGTATGCAATCGAGGTGCCGCTCTCTCTTTGCCCGCGTAGCTCAGTCGGTAGCGGGGCCGCACCCCCAATCCTCGTTCTCACAAGTTCAGCTCCTCGAGGGGCATCTTTGAACGGAATTTCGAGAACATTATTTTTTTCATGTCCCCCCACCTTTAAACGTGGCTTTCTTACCAGAAACACAGGACAACTTTAAAGGCGCATATCTCAAGAACCGTAGTAGCTACTCAAAATCTGTAAACTAGAAAAATGTAGGATTTTCGATTTCACACATTTTCATAGTTTACAACTTTTTGATAGCTTTTATGGTTCCTGAGATATAAGCCTTCTTTAAAAATTATGTGTCATTTCTCCGGTACCCTCTCCTTTTCGCACACTCTCCAACCCATTTATTGTTTTTTCCTGCTCCTTTGGGCTCTAATAATAAAAGGATCCGCTTCTTTTTGAAATTGAAAAAAATGAAAGGGTCATCCTATTCTCCTTCTGTTTGCTCTTCCCTATTCTTCCCCTTTTTTCCCTTCTTTTTGGGTGAAACTGAAAAAAAATAGAAATGGATAATAGTCGCGTTTTTTCCTTCCTCTTCTTTTAATGAGCTTAAAATTCTAGAATATTCCAGACCAAGTTCTAGGAAAATCCGAATAAAATAGTTTGTAAAATCTAAAATTTTGCATGAAAAAGAGCAAAAATTGAAAAATTTGAAAACATTTTTGAAAAAATTAGAAATGTGAGACATTTTTGAATGCTAAAAAACAACAGTTTTCAACCTTAAACCTCGTGAAAAAGGAGACGCAGACACCTAGAGTGTCTCGTTTCTCTGTTCCTCCTAGAACCAAACTTCTCAACTTTAAACGCGTTTATCTCAAGAACGGTGTGAACATGGCGTAAACGCGTCTTACGCTTTGGAGCTTAATATCTCAAGAACCATAGAAGTTATCTAAAAGTTGTAAACTACAAAATTGTAGGAAATTCAATTTTACACATTTTTGTAGTTGACTACTTCTTGATAGCTATTATAGTTTTTGAGATAGAGCGCGTTTACTGCGGCAACCACCTAGAAGGGAGGGTGTTCGCTTTCTCTGCGCCTCTCTCTCTCCTATGACTTGAACTTTCTAGAAAAATGATTTTAGGGGTTTCAGAATGTGTAGATTTCAAAAAACTAGGTGTAAATCTGCAAAAATAAAAGATAAATCTAGTTTTAGGTAATTCGAAAACATGAAAAAAATTATCCGGAAAAAAACTCGTCACCTCCTTTTTCGCCTCTAAAAAACTGACGAAAAGATTGTTTCTCTTAACCCGTCAACATTTTTTCTCCCAAGTTTTTTGTCTCTCGGGAATTCAATGATTTCCTCTAACCCCTTATACATATATGTTAGAATTTTTACTCTCTCATCTTCTTTTTTTCCTCTTTTTTGGCTGAAAAACTCTGAAAATCGAGGAAAAGAGATGAATAATGGGATCAGACTTCTTGGTTTATTTTTGTGTTCTTTTCTAGTTTTTTTCAGCGATTTTCAGTGATTTTCGAAACTCAAACTGCAACAAATTGTTTCCAGATATGCTCCCCTACATAATCCTATCCATTCTGGTCCGGTTAGCAGGAGCACAGAGTGGTGGCAAAGTGCTCGAGAAGTATGGAAAGCAAGTGCAGTAAGCATGGCTTTTCCTCTTTTTTTTTTGAGAGACGCAGAGAAGCGAGAGCACTCTCGTTTCGCTGCGTCTCCCCTTTCCTTGGGCTTTTTGCGCTGTATCTCACGAACTGTTATAGCTAGCAAAAAGCTATAAACTACGAAAATGTAGAAAATTTGATTTCACATATTTTTGTTGTTTTGAGCTATTTGATAGCGTTTACCATTCTTGAGATATGCACCTTTAAAGTGGGCGCGCGCCTTCTTGTAAGGAGCCTTGCTTCAGAAGCGCTTATCTCAAGAACCACTGATGCTATTTTAATACTATTTACATCAAAATGTAGCGTATTGAATTTCCTACATTTTTGTAGTTTACAACTTTTTGATAGCTTTTATAATTCTTGAGATATAACGCTTTGAAAAAAAGTTATATGGCTGGTGAGCGAGAGAGGAGAGAGAGAGAGACGCAGACAGTGAGAGGTTCCTCTTTCTCTGCGTCTCTCTTCGATGTTAAAAATGTCGAAAATCCGTTTAAAAAGGGACTAAAAAATTAAATTACAGATTTTTTGAACGAAAAAAAACTTCAAAATTCAAAAAAATGTCTGAAAATGTTAGATTTTCAATTTTTCGAATTTTTTGTTTTTTTTCAATTTTTTGAATTTTGCCCAGTTTTGGCTTTAAAGTCGAATTTTTACCTTTGCTTTTAATCATTTCCAGCGAAAAAATCTGCTAAAAATCGTCTTCTAAACGTCTGAACAGGGCTTGAACGCGCCTTACGTTTTCAAGCTTAATATCTCAAAAACCAGGAAAGCTATCAAAAATGTTTTAACTGCAAAACTATAGAAAATTTAATTTCACACATTTTTGTAGTTCTTAACTTTTTGATAGCTCTAACGGTTCTTGAGTTATGCGCCTTTAAAGTTGACACGCCTTCTTTTGCAGCGCATCTACCTTAAATGCGCATATCTCAAGAACGATAAACGCTATCGAAAAGTTGTAAACTACAAAAATGTAGGAAATTTAATTTCCTACATTTTTTAGTTTAAAGTTCTTGTCTAGCTTTTATGGTTCTTGAGTTATACCCAATTGCAGATCTCGTCTAACCCATTTTCAGGCTATCACCACCAACAACATCATCCTATCAAGAGTGGTTCGACTCGAATCGAGTGCATAGTACTAGAAATAACACAAACATTGAGGATTTCAAAACTCAGTTGAGGAGAAGTTTGGGTAATTAAAAAATATATAAAAATTGTAGAAGGAAAATTTCAGAAAATACAACTGCTGCATATAACTCGACGTTCATGCAGCAGTTAGTAGAGGAGCGGCAAAGGTATCTGGAGAAATTAAATGAAGGTAAGCCTGCTCTAATAATAAACAATTATTTCCCAAAAATTTCGATTTTTTCAATCTAGCGAATTTGTAAATTCCTTTCCCTCTCCCTTCTCGCTCCCGGCGCGCCACCGCTCCCCTTCTTATACGCACTCCCTCTCCCCTTTTCGCCAGTGCAGTCATGTCCGAGTGGTTAAGGAGATTGACTCGAAATCAATTGGGCTCTGCCCGCGTAGGTTCGAATCCTGCTGACTGCGAACCTTTTTTGCTTTTTTTATCGAGCACTGGGGCGGGTTCCAGGGGGGGTCTGGGGGTGGTTTTAGGGTTCTAAACCATTTTTTGGACTGTCTTATCGCAGTTTTTGCGCTTTTTACCCCTTTTAACTTCCCAACTTTTCAGGTCAATTTATAAACGACCAGCGGCGGTTGGTAGAGGAGCTATTGGATCCAAATTTCTACGAGAAAACCGTACACCCGCGAAAAGACTATACCCAGCCGACGAGAATCAATTTAAGCATGAGTTTGTATCAGATTTTGGATGTGGTAGGTGGAATTTTGAGATTTTTTGCTTTAGAGCGAATTTACTGACTTTCTTCAAACAGGACGAACATATGCAGAGCATTGAGGTGAATGTTTGGATGGTCCAACATTGGTACGATGAGTTCCTAGATTGGAATCCAGTGGATTACGGTATGATTAACCGGACCATAGTGCCGTATAACCAGATTTGGATTCCGGATACTTATTTGTACAATAGGTTGGATAATTCTAGCGATTGCTCAGCTTAAAAAACTAAAAAATTGAAAAATTTCAGCGAAGAGTTGGAACAAAAAAAGACGGAATCTCTGATGAATGCTCAGCTGGAAACGGGGCATTGGAGCCAGAAGAAAAATGGCGCCAAAGTTCAGCTAATGTTCCCAGCGATTTACAAGTTATCATGTCGAATGGACGTTAGATGGTTCCCATATGATAGGCAGAATTGCACATTTATCATTTCTAGTTGGACGCATGATAAGGTAAGTTTATGAAAAATCTGTACAGAATAAACCACCAAAAAAGGGTCCCCAGGACCCCCTAGGATGACCAAAAAAAAGCAAAAAAAAAAAAGGTTAACGCAGTCAGCAGGATTCGAACCTACGCGGCCAGAGGCCAATTGATTTCAAGTCAATCTCCTTAACCACTCGGACATGACTGCACAGGAGAAGAAAGGAGGGGGAGTGCATATAAGAAGGGGGAGCGGCGCGGCGACCTGGGAGGGAGAGAGAGCGAGGGAGCAGGTCCGAAGGGAAAAAGTGGGGAGGAGAAAAAAACTTTTTAGGCAAAAAAGCAAGAAATAGGGGGAAAGGGAGATGGGATTTTTTATATAAGAAGAAAAGAGCCAAAAAGTCAGCAAATAAACACATTAAACACATTTTTCTGAGTAAATTGTGTTCAAAAAATTTCAAAAAATTCAATTTTCCCGATTAAATATAATGTAAAATAGAAGTATTACTCTATTTTCCAATAACTTACTTAATTTTACAGTTTAAACCCTCAAAAATCGATATCGAAGGCTGAATTTACAACAAAAAAATTTTTAAATCCTATTTTCCAGGCCAAAGTCAATATGAAATAAAACAATTTCTCTACTTTCTCTATAAATTACTCAATTTTATATTTTAAAAATCCTCGAAAATCAATTTTCAAGACAAATTTCAGACTGGTGATGTCCAGTTTATCACCTCTACCTCCCCCTCGCTCCCAATCCCGCTCCCGCTCGCCCCTCCGGTGCTCCCCCTTCTTATACGTACTCCCTCCCCCATCTCCACCGTGCAGTCATGTCCGAGTGGTTAAGGAGATTGACTAGAAATCAATTGGGCTCTGCCCGCGTAGGTTCGAATCCTGCTGACTGCGTTAATCTTTTTTCCTTTTTGCTTGATTTTCTAGATGTTCTAGGGCTGTTTCCAATTTTTTAAGATTAAAAACGCTTGTTCCAGCAAACAATAGACTATTGGCCGCTAAGCTCTCAAGTGAATCTTGGCAATATGGCGCGAAACGACGAATGGGAAGTGATAAGTTTCGAATTCGTACGAGTCGAGGAATCATTCAAATGTTGTGCTGCTCCATGGGTCATGTTATATGCTCATTTGGTGATAAGAAGGAAGCCACTGTATTATATGATCAATTTGGTGATTCCTACAAGTATTATCACTATTGTCGCGGTCACTGGATTCTTCACACCTACTAGTTCATCTAGTGAACGCGATGAGAAGTTGTGAGTTTTTTTGAAATTTTTCAAAATGCAGAAATATAGCCAGTAAAATTTCCTACATTTATCAAAAAAGAACGCCTTGCTAGCTAATATGGTTCCTGAGATATGCGCCTTTAAAGTTAAAGCGCCCAATAGGTGGAGGGGGAGGTGTGCCACCTTTAAAAGCGCATATCTCAAAAACTAAAAGCGCTATGAAAAAGATTTCAACTGCAAAAATGTAGCTCATAATATTTTATATTTTTGTAAAAAAATCAATTTGAGTTTGCTCTTATGGTTCTTGAGATATAACACTTTGAAGCAGGGGTGTCCTTCAAGGCGCGCACACAATAGCGTCAATGAGTGTCCTGTCTTTTAGAGATCAAGAACCAATTAAGTTATTTTAATGAATGTTATACCAAAATCTAGCTTATTAAATTTTTCATATTTTCATAGTTTACAAATTTTCGATGGCTTTCATGAGTCTTGAGATATAGGTCTTTGAAGCTCAGGGGTCCTATGGGGCGCTCGCGGCAATAGACAGCTTGTCGTTTAGCGGCTATATCTCAAGAACCGCTGAAGCTAGAATAATGAAATTTATATCACAACGTAGCTTATCAAATTTTACACATTTCGTGAATTTAAAAATTTAAGCTAGCTATACCCGTTTTTGGGATATGCGTCTTTAAAGTGTTGCCTCCCCCTCCGCCGGTAATACTTAGTGCGTTAACTTCAAAGACGCATAACTCAATAACCGTTATAGCTTTGAAAAAGCTGTTAATTACAAAAAAGTAGCCTATAAAATTTTACATCTAGGGCTCTAAAAAAGTTTGCAAGTATCCTCATGCTTCTTTCGTTAAGGTACCTCGGAATCAACACCCTTCTCACAATGTCGGTTATGATGCTGATGGTTTGTAACCAAATGCCATCCACAAGCACCTATGTGCCTTTAATGAGTAGGTCACATTTGTCACTATTGATTTATTTAGTAATCAATAAATTCCAGGTTGGTACTACATTGGTATCATTATGGTGATAGTGGTTGGCACATTTTTGGCGACTGGCGTTTTGGCGATTCACGGACAGAAGCATTATAATAAACCGATTTCTGATAGGGTACGGAAATTGGTTTATAATCCGGTGGTCGAGTTTTTTATATTGAGGTGAGTTTTTTTTAATCAAAAAGAATGACAAGGCGCCTGTTATCGTGATGGCTCGCTTCAAAAGGTACTTCAGCTTCAAAGCTTTATATCTCCTGACTCCTAGAAGTTATTCAAGTTTTGATAACTAATTAAATATGTGAAATTCCATAAGCTACCATTTGATACAAATGTCATTGACGAGGCTAAAGGGGTTCTTGAGATATAGCAATTTGAAGATACCGAGTCATTTCATCGCGCTAAATGGATACCTGCACTTCAAAGTGTTATATCTCAAGAACCAAACAAGCTAGTTTGATAAATTTTATATCAAAATGCAGCTCTTGACATTTTACATACTTTAATAATTTATAAATTGTTGATTACTTTAGTGGTTCTTGAGATATAGCTCTTCAAATTTAACGCTCTCTTTAGAGCGCGCGCCTCGCGTCTCAGGCACTCGTTGACTGCGTCTCTTCTCATTGTTTATCTCTCGTCAGTGGGAAATGTTTGTAAATCAGTTTTTAGGTATTGCAAAACATGAGGATTTCAAAAATCAAATTAAATTTTAGCTAGCTAAAACGGTTCCTGAGATATAGCGCTGCAAAATTAAGAAAGCTTTCAGCGCACCCCCGTAAATAGACACACTGTCTTTGAGCCATCGTATCTCAAGAACCACTAGAGCTTTTTTAATGAAATTTATACCAAAATGCAGTTTATTCAATTTCACATATTTTACTTTCTTACAAAACTTTGATAACTATTATGAGTCTTGAGATATAATGTTTTGAAGCTTACGTGTCCTCTAGAACGCAACTAGCACCTTGTCTTTTAGAGGGTGTATCTGAAGAACCACCAGATCCCTTATAATGAACATTTTATTAAAAGGCAGCTTATTAAGTTTTAAACATTTATTTAATTTGAAATTTTGAACTAGCTTCACTAGTTTTGGAGACATAGCTGTTTCAAAAGCGGATACCTTAATACCCTTCCACTGTCTGCGTCTCTTTAAAGGCGCATATCTCAAAAACTAGACATGCTTTCAACATTTTGTTAACTACACATATATAGGAAATTTCATTTTCAACAAGTTTCAATTTAAAAATTTTTGATATCTACCGTAGTTTTGGAAATATTCGCCTTTCCTTTTGGCGCCAAACGAGGGAGGCGCTCCAACTTTAAAGGCGCATCTCTCAAGAACCACTGACGCTGTTTTTATGAAAGTTATATCAAAATGTAGCTAATTCAATTTTACAAATCTTTAAGTTTACTATTTACGACTAAATTTCAGCCCGCCAACGTCCCTAATCGATTTATGGACCGAATTCGGAGTGATCTCCGAGCAGCGACACTCCACTCATTTGGATCCGTTACTAGTGCAAATGGATCCAGTAACGGCGGTGAGTATGTTCCTAATTGCTTCTCGAGTAGTTTCTTTGTTGATTTCTCTCAATTGGTCCATGTATTTGTCCCCGCCCCCTTCTTTAAACACCTTCAGTTGCTTCTATCTTTTCCAGCACGATCCTCAACACTTCTTCGGATCCATCTCATCACAAATGTGTGATCTGCAATCGACGTATAGTTATACAGCTCGACTGGCGACAATCACCCGACAGTACACACAACATGTAACATTTTTGTTTTTCTCAATAGAGCGCCCTTCCCCCCACCACTTATGTTAAGACGTGTGTTAATGTGTGTGTGTGTGTGGGTGTATCTTCAAAACGTTGTAGTTTAGTCAGATTTTTAGATAGAACAAATTTGAAAATTGGGTTGAATGTAAAATTTTATAAGCTACAGTTTTGTACTTAACAACGTTTTGATAGCGTTTGTCGTTCGTGAGATATTCGCGTTTAAAGTTGGCGCGCTCAAAATTACGGGAGAAGAGGGGTGTACCAATTTTAAAAACGCATATCTTGAGAACCATAGTAGCTAGCTAAAATCTGTTTTTTTGACGCATAGGTCAAATTTTACGAGCTACATTTTTGACGTTCAAAACTTTTTTCTAGCTATAATCGTTGATGAGTTATGCGACTTTAAAGTTGGCGCGCCCATATAGACCCATATAGGAGGGGGAAGGCGCAACTTTCAATACGCATATCTCAGGAACTATAACAGCTAGCAATACTTTGAAAGCTATGAAAGTGTGTAAAATCTAATTAGCTACACTTTGATATAACTTTCATCAAGATACCGTAAAACCTGTAATAGAAGTGCCCCCTGACTTTCAACTTTGAGCCCATTTATCTCGGTTCCTGATAAAGATGTAAAAAATTTGTCAACTAAGAAATTGTTGCTGCTATCATGATAAACAATTTATCAGTTGACACACTTTTGATATCTTTATCAGGAACCGAGATAATTGAGCTCAAACCCCAAAGGACGCCTGAGCGTCAAAGCCTTATATCTCACGACTCATGATAGCTATCAAACTTTTTTTTAACTATAGAAATGTATAAAATTTTGCGAGCCACATTTTTGTAGTTTTACACTTTTCTGTAGAACTTTTAGTTTTTGAGATATACCCCCTCTAAATTATAAGGGAAACCAAACCTTCAAAACGTTATATCTCGAGAATCCGGCTAGCTACAGAGATACTATTGTAACCAAGATGTAGTTTTTCAAAATGTCCAATATTCTTGTAGTTTGTAGTATTCTGACAGCTAATATAGTTTTTGAGATATGTGAGTTTGAAGTTTGGTAGCATATCGACTCTAAATAATTTTAAATTCAGGCAAAAATGAAAGCGCTCCGAAAGAATCAATATCGAATGAGTATGGACACAAGTCAGGCGAGGAGTGTGAAGAAGCAAAAAATGCAGAGGAGGTAAGACCCTGGGACCCAAAAAATGAAGCAAAAAAGAAAAAAAGGTTAACGCAGTCAGCAGGATTCGAACCTACGCGGGCAGAGCCCAATTGATTTCTAGTCAATCTCCTTAACCACTCGGACATGACTGCACGGTGGAGATGGGGGAGGGAGTGCGTATAAGAAGGGGGAGCGGTGGCGCGCCTAGCGGGAGGGAAAGGAGGAAATTGAAAATTTTCTAAACCACTGGATGGTTCCCAGAGGACCATTTTTAAGATTTTAAGACATTTATAGCATATTTTAAAATTCAGATGCTCATTAGAATGGGAATTCCTGGCCAATGTACTGGATCGCATTCTGCTAACCGTCTTCTGCGGGTTTACATTTGCAGTCTTCGTGATTTTGGTTGGATTCGACTCGTTTTTTACGGTTCACACTAAATCTGCACACAAATAGGAAAACCAGTTTCTTTCAAGGTTTTTTACATCTTGATTGTATGTGATTTGGTGATCCTCATTTGAGTATCTCGAGAAACTAAAAAGGATAGAGCGAAAAGTCTAAATTATGAACTTTAAGAAGTTTCAATTCAAAACGGGTTGAGCTAGCAGAAAATTTAAAAATATCAGAATGTGTAAAATTTTATAAGCTACATTTTGATATAACTTTGATTAAAATAGATTCAGTGGTTCTAGAGATATGCGTCTTTAAAGTTAATGCATCCCCCCGCTGGGAGGCGCGCTAAATTTAAAGGCGCATAACTCAAAAACTACCGTAGCTAGCAAAATTTTGAAAATTAGAAATTGTTAGTAAATTCAATTTGCAATATTTATGTAATGAACAACATTCTAATATAATGTCCAGTTTTGAGATATGCGCCTTTAAAGTGACGTAGACTGTGAGAAGCAGAGGTAAAGTGCTTTTTAAACTACTATATCTCAAGAACGGGGGACGTTAGCCTAAATTTTGAAAATAGTGAAACATGTAAAACTTGATAAGCTACATTTTGATAAAACAAAGATTGAAACGGCTACAATGATTCAAGAGATACAATGGCTGAAAGACAAGGCGCCAGTTATTGCGATGGCGCGTGCGCCCTACTCTTTATCTCAAAACTCATGATAGCTACCAAAGTTTTGTCAACTACAAAAATATGTGAAATTCGATAAGCTACAATTTGATATTAGTTTCATTCAATGAGTTTTGTTAGTTCTTGAGATATAGCCGCTAGAAGACAAGGCGCCCATTACCGCTGTGGCGCGCGCGCGTCTTAAAGATCGCCATATCTCTAGACTCGTAATAGCTATTAAAATTTTGTAAACTATGAAAGTATGTCAAATTTAATAAGCTACATTTTGATATTAATTTCATTACACGGGCTCTATTGGTTCTTGAGATACAGCGTTTCGAAGACAAAGCGCCTGGTGTCGCGGTGGCGCGCCCGCCTCGAATGGCACCTATTCTTTGAAGCCTTATATCTCAAATCTCATAATAGTTATCAAAATTTTGTCAACTACAAAAGTATTTAAAATGTGATAAACGACATTTCAATATAAAAATCATTATACTAGCTTTAGTGGTTCCTAAGATATAGACATTTAAAGTTACTGCGCCCAATCCATCCGCATACCTGCGTTTCAAAGCCTCATATCTCAAGACTGATAACAGTTATCAAAAATTGGTCAACTATAAAAATATAGGAAATTAAATTTCCTAAAAGTTCATAATTTACACTTTTCTTCTATCTCTTTTAGTTTTCGAGATATTTCTCTTTTTTTAAAATTATCTTGTTTACTTTTAATTTCATTTTTCGTCATCATCACAACCACTTCTCATATGTTCAGTTTTGTGTTTTTGAAAATAAAAAAAAAACAATTTTTATTTATTTTCATGTATTCTAGAACATTCTAAAAAACTAAAAAAGTCCCAAAATTGGAAAAAAAATGGAAAAAAAATGTTCATTGGTCTGGTCCATTTTTTGTAGTCAGATACATTTTTCGACCCTGATTCAAGTGTTCTCTTATCACAAATCTTATCATTCTATCACTAAAATTCACATGAAAACCCTCTACAAGAAGACGTGTGATTCGTACTGATCAATTGTCGTCAGAAGGCGTCAGATTAGGCTCCGCCCACTCAATAGAACAATACAAAAGGAGGCTGTGTTTGTTGTACTTCGATTTGAATCAGATAGAATCATGAAATTTTTGATTTCTCTAATTATTTTACATTTTCTATTCGTTCAAATTTATTCGTTCACGCTGTATCGAGCACAAAAACCAAATCATCACTCGGGATCAGATAGGTGAGCGTTTTTTGGGATTATCTTGAAAACTTGAAAAGATAGAAGAAAAATTTAAATTGGATACTGTAGAAAATCAAATTTTCTACATTTTTGTAGTCAAAAAAATTTTAGTGGGGACATTGGTTCTGCGCCTTTAAAGTAAGAGCGCGCGCGGCACCGCAAAAGTGGGCGCTTTATCTTTAGAAACATATATCTCAAGAACCAATAACGCGCTTTCGATGAAATGTACACCAAAGTGTAGCTCATAAAGTTTTACGCGTTTTGATAGTTTACAAAAGTTTAATAGATATAATGCGTCTAGAGATATAAGGCGTTGAAGCTCGGGGTCTTTCTTGGCGCGCGCGCTTACTTTAAAGGCGCATATCTCAAGAATCGCTAGATCCCTGTGAATGAAATTTAGATCAAAATGTAGTTCTTTAAATTTCACACAATCCTCTAGTTCACAAAAATTTGATGACTTTTAGGAGTCTTGAGATATGCGCTTTTAAAGATAGGAGCGCTGAAGGGCGGGCGCGCAACCGTTGAAACGCTGTATGTCACGAACCACTGAATTTCTTGTAATGAAAGTTATACTAAAATGTAGCTTATAACATTTTCTATATTTTCATAGTTTACAAAATTGAGCTGGATAAATCCGTATTTAAGATACAGCGCTTTCAGCCTGCGGCTAGCCGCCGCTTCCTCCCGTCTGCGTCTCTTTAAAGGCGCATATCTCAAAAACCACTCAACTCCTTCTAATGAATTTTATATCAAAATAAAGCTTATTAAATTCTACTTATTTTAAAATTTTGAGAATTTAAGCTAGCTAGACCTGTGTTTTTGAATATAGCGCTTTCAAAAAGAAAGACCCACCTGTGCCTCTCCGGCATCCTATGCATGCGTCTCTTTAAAGGCGCATATCTCAAGAACCACTGAAGCTTCGTTAATCATTTTTATATCAAAATGTAGCTTGTCTAATTTTATACATTTGGGTAGTTTAAAAGTTTTGGCTAGCTTTACCCGTTTTTGAGATATAGCGCTTTCAAACACGGTTACCTTGCTAACCACCGGCGGCTGGCCCCGCCTCCCCCCGTCTGCGTCTCTTTAAAGGCGCATATCTCAAAAACCAAATTAGCTAGGTACAACCTACAAACTACACATACATATAAAATTTGATCCCTAACAATTCCCTCTTTTCAAATTTTTGATAGCTACCGTAGTTTTCGATCTGTGCGTCTTTAAAACAAGTTATGTTACATTTTGATCTGTTATCGTCATAGAACACATAATTTGTGACCTCTTATCACCAATCACTTCCTTATCAAAAAACCTGATTTTCTCAACAAAAACGCAATTTTTCAGTCGCAACAAATCGGAAAATGTGGATCTAGACGAGACGGACGGCGATTCGTTCGATCGAATGCGGAATGTACTGGGAAGTATGAACCCAGCGTTGGGTCTGATGCACAGAATACGGTATCGTGAGAAGAAATGACAGACGACGTCGAGGGAGCAGCTTCCCGAGAAGTACTTGAAAATTTTCGATCTCAAATTGCCATGGTTTCATGTTGATAATGATAAATTTTGAATAAAAGGTCCTAAAAATATTGTTTTTCTCTGAAAAATTGTTGAAAACTAGGCTTAAAGGCTGTTTTTGAGACTTTAAACTACAAAAAATGAGCTTAAAACAGTTAAAAAGCTCTAGGAAATTAAAAAAAAACGTTATTTTCCAAAAAATGTCCAAATGGCTCAGTGGGATTTTCAACTCCTCCACTTCCAATCTGACGATCCAAGTTCGATTCCCCTCGGTGGCAAAATTGTTTTGCTCCTTTTGTACAGCATTTTCAGACGGTTTAGAACATTCTAGATGCTAAAAATGAACTTTTTTCAAACATTTCGAAAAATCCTAATTTTGAAAATTTTCTTTTTCAAAAACTTTGTTGAAAATAGTATTTCCAGGACAAAAAAAAACTTGAAAAAGACGCTGAAAATAGTTTCCAACTTCGAAAAATCGATTTTTCAGTGTTTTTGAGCGATTTTCCAAAAAATGCACAAATGGCTCAGTGGGATTTTCGATAACAATCTAACGACCCGGGTTCGATTCCTCTCGGTGGCAAAATTTTTTTGCTCTATTTTCACAACATTTTCAGACGTTTTAGAACATTCTAGATGCTAAAAATGAACTTTTTCAAAAATTTCGAAAAATCCTAATTTTGAAAATTTTCTGATAAATTTTTTTTCTAAAAGCCGGCTGAAAATATTATTTCTAGGACAGAAAAACTTGAAAAATACGATAAAAAAGTTTCCAACACTGAAAATTCCATTTTTTCAGTGTTTTTGAGCGATTTTCCAAAAAATGTCCAAATGGCTCAGTGGGATTTTCAACTCCTCCACTTCCAATCTGACGACCCGGGTTCGATTCCCCTCGGTGGCGAAATTTTTTTATTTTTTTGCTGGGCAATGTAATACCGTTTTTGAAGCTTCTAAGACCTTTAAAACTCTCCATCTGACATCAAGGGGTCCATTTTTCAAACTTTCAGATTATTTTCAGAGGATTTCCAGCCAAATTCATCACTGGCTTATAATACAAGATGTTTATGTATGTTACGAAGAAGAATACAGAGAGAAAAACGTTCAGAGGGGGAGGAGTCAATAAATAATTCAAAAAAGAAAAGACACGAATAAAAGATGGGCGGGGCTTAGAAGATTATTTCCACAACTTCTTAATGGACATATTCTTCTCCGAGTCCTTCTGCATCACTTTTCCAACGGCCATCTCGAAGTCCTCCTGTGTCACATGAATACGTCTCTCACGAAGGGCAAACATTCCGGCTTCCGTGCACACCGCCTTCACTTCTGCTCCAGAAGCCCCAGGAATCTGTTCAGCGATCTTTGCCATATTGATTCCTCGCATTAGATTCATTTTACGCGAATGAATCTTGAGAATATCGGCACGCGCCTTCTCATCTGGAGCCGGGAATTCGATTTTACGATCGATACGACCGGGACGGAGAAGGGCGGGGTCTAGGATGTCGATACGATTCGTTGCCATGATTACCTGAAAGATTATATAGGGTTATAGAGAATAAGGGCTGGAATCGGGCCTATTTTTAGGCTGGAATCGGGTCCAAGTATAGGCTGAAAATAGGCCCAATTTTGGCTAGAAATCGTAGATTTCCGACTAGAACTAGCTCATTTCAGACTGGTTTAGGCTTCAATTGTGTTAAGATTTAGGTTGAAAACAGCCTATTTTAGGCTGGAATTAGACCGTTTCAGACTGAAAATAGCCTACTTTTAACTGAAATAATCCCAATTTTGGCTAGAATTCGGCGCTAAAATAGGGCCTTTCATGGACGACAATTCTATGCCGAAAAGCCGCCGAATTGGGTTCTTAAGGATAACAATTAAAGCTATAATTACAGCTATAATCGATAATTCAAAAGTCGAAACTATCAGGCCAGGCTTTTAGGCCAATTATAGATCAAAAATAGGCCTTTTAGGCTCTTTTTTGTCTCGTTCATAGCCAATTCTAGGCCGAATTCAGTCTTTTAAGACCATTTTCAGCTATTTTAACGATCATCTCAAACCTAGATTAGCCTAATTTAAGCTGGTTTTTCATTTAAAAAGGACCCACAAATCAGGCATTTTCTTCCCAATTTTAGGCCCAATTCAAGCGTTTTAAGACAACATTTCCAGCTTGTTTAAGCCTAGATCAGCCTATTTTAGACCATTTTTCATATAACTTCCAGGTACAGTACCTTAATATTCTTGGTGGCCTCGAAACCGTCCAACTGATTGAGCAACTCCAACATTGTTCTCTGCACTTCCGAGTCTCCACCCGAGGATCCTTCGACTCTCGATGATCCGATCGAATCGATTTCGTCCATGAAGATGATCGATGGAGCGTGCTCACGAGCCATCACGAACAGCTCACGGACCTGGAAAACGGGGTTTTTGGGGCGATTTTTCGCAATTTCAGGTCATTTTGACGCTGTTTTTAACTAGTTTAAGAGCCATTTTTAAGGGTACTTTTAGCAGCTAATCTAGTCGAAAATAGCCCAAAAAAGGCGCTATTTTGAGCTAGTTTCAGCGGCATTTTGAGATGATTTTTGGGGCTTTTTTCAGCGTTTCCAGCGCCTTTCTCACCATTCTTGCTCCCTCTCCAATGAACTTCTGAACCAATTCCGATCCCGACACTCGAATAAAAGTACATTCGGTATGATGAGCCACTGCACGTGCCAACAACGTCTTTCCAGTTCCAGGTGGTCCGTAGAGAAGCACTCCTTTAGGCTGAGCAATACCAAGAGCATCGAAAAGCTCCGGATGCTTAACAGGCAACTCGATGACCTCCTTAATCTCCTTGATCTGTTTATCCAGTCCTCCAACCATCTCATACGTCGAATCTGGCACCTTTTCAACCATCATAAGGGAGACCAGAGGGTCCACTTTGTTGGGTAGAACCTTATGAAGAGCATAGGAATCAGCACGGAGGGCTACACGAGCTCCAGTGTTCAGCGAATTGATATCGATTGTTTTGTCAACGTCAACGACGTACTTTCCTTCTGGATGCACCTTGACGAGCACTTTCTTCTTATCCATGGCTTTACTGACTTCTCCAACGTAGGATCCTTGTTCGTGCAGCTGTTGTAGCTCTTCTTTCAGCATACGCACCTTCGTATTCAGCTCGTTGCGTTGGGCTTGGAGGCGACGAACGTTTTGGGATTTGTCGGCCACTTTTTGCTGAAAAACTTGGGAAACGGTTAGTTTGGGAGGGAGAAATTGGGACTTTTGGGTCTAAAAATGGTTGGAAAGCCTTAAATTTCGAGATGTTTTTTTTTAATTGGAAAATTACATTTTCGGGGCTTATCTAGGTCCAAAATTGAGCTTTTCTAGTTAATTTTAACTGGTTTCTGAGTCCAAATCAGACATTTTAGCGTTACTTTGCATATTTTGAGCCAAAATTCTGCTATTTTACGACAAATTTTGGTATTTTTCTAAATTGACCATTTTCAAGCTTTTCAGCCATTTTTAACTAGATTTTCAGCCAGAATAAGCCATTTCCACACTATTTCTGATATTTTAAGCCAAAATTCTGCTATTTTACGACTTATTTTCATATTTTTAAAAATTACAAAAATTATCATTTTTGGGACATTTTTTAGGTCGAAAATTCGTATTTTTCAGCAATTTTAAGTACTTTTCCAGCTGAATTCAGCCATTCTCGCACTATTTTCGATGTTTTATGCTGAAATTCTAATATTTTCAGCCAAAACTCGCTCCTACCTGAGCATCGTCGACCTTCGTGCGGAAATACTTGCGAAGAGTCTCCTCGGACGATTCTTCAGTCAATTTTTGAGTGTTATTTGCTGGCGAACGACCGGAATCGGTTCCTGGGACGGCTGGTGGCGCCATTTTTCTGAAAAAAAACGTGCTTTTTGGGGACATTTCGGAGAAAAATACCAAAGTTTCAAGGAAGGAAAATGAAAAACTAGTTAGAAATCAGATTCTCAATTTTTTTTGAATTTTCAAAATTTTCAGTTTTCAGGCTATTTTTCCACCTAGTTTTATGTGAATCTGACTGAAATTTTGAGAAAAATTCGCTAGTTTTTACCTAAACTTCAGATTTTCTCGAAAAATTCAAGATTTTAATGTAAAATCCAGCAAAAAATGATGACACTTCAAAAATCCAGCTTTCGAATTGTCATGCTCGTCAAATGCGATGCCACCCTCTCTCCGCAATACACGCTCACGCACAAATGCACACCAGCAGCCGGCTGACGAGTGCAGCGGCGACACTGAAGAGACCGTAGCGAAACGAGACAAATAGGCGAGAGAGTGTGTGAAACGAAGAGAGCCGGCAGACACGCGCGCGCTAAAATTTTACGCTTCCGCGCGCGTTTCAGAGGGTTCCCATCGAATTTTTATCATATCTCAGCTCAAAAATTTCAGAAAATTATGAAATTTTCAGACATCACTTTTGAGGGTCTCTTGTTCCTTTCTAGAAAATTCCAGAAAATTCTATCCCATCTGAAAAGAGTTACGGGCGTTTGAAAATTCCGAAAAAAAATCCGTCCAATTAACATTGACCCCCATTAAAACTAGGCTGAAAATCCACGTGGCACCGAGGTTCCGTAACATTCTGAAGCCGTTTTTATGGGAAATTCAATGGAAGCCTCCAAAATCTTGAAAAAAAAATTTCAAGCCCATTTTTTGGGGTTTTCCTGGAATAAAGAAGGAAAAGGAGGAAAAGTGGGCGGAGCTTGGCATCCAGCCAAGTCTTTCTCTGTGCTCTCTTCTCCCTTCGTCACGTGTCTTCTTCTGTCTGAGTATCAAACGCATTTGGCTTCGTACTTCTTCTATTCTGGCCATACACATGTCATTTGTATACGTTTCGGAGTGTGCGTGCGCGCCTTTTTAGGCTTTTTTAGACCAAAATTTCGGGTTTTAGGCTAAAAATATTGTTTTTTGGGGGTTTTTTTTCAGCTTTAAACCTCATTTTTCAGCCAGAAAACCATATTTTTAGCTGGTAAACTCCTTTTTCTGCATTTTCCGTCTCAGAAATTGAAGCAAATCCAGTGCGGTCAGCGGCGACGCGGACGCGTCGCGGCTCGCGGAATTTCGGTTTTCATTTTTTCATCGAAAAGTCCTGTTTTTTTCGGAATTTTTCAGTCAAATTCAGCATTTGACCTCATATTTGAGCTAAAAATCAATCAATTTTTTCACTTTTTTTTCAATTCAGAAATTCTGGAATTTTGATTTTCAGCCAGTTTTTTCTGGAAAATTCTGGATTTTTGGCTGAAAATTCTGATTTTTAGGCCAATTTCGCAATCCCCTCTCACCACCTGACACCACACGCGACGCGACCGCGCCGCTTGCCCCGCGCGCCCGCCAATTTCGAAATTAGCGATGCGCGCGCGTTGCGGTCGCGTAGCGTGTCCGGCCTTAGTTTTTCAAAAATCGGTCATTTTTACCCGATGTCGTCGTGATGAGCGGCGGTTTTTTGGGGCTCTTTTTTAAATATTTTTTTTCAGGTTTAGAAAGATTCTAGAAGACTCTAGCGTCTTCTAAAAGGCTCTGAATGCTAATTCCAGCTCTAGAAACTCTAGAAACTCCTAGTTTTCTCTTAAATTAGTTTTTTGCCGAAAGTTTTCTAAAATCGACCAATTTTTGAGAAAAATTAGTCGATTTTGCGGAAATTTTTCTGAAATGTCTGAGAAAATCTTAATTTTCTGAAAATTCCAGATTTTTCTCAGAAAAATATGGTTTTTTTTTGGAGCGAAATCTTTCTTCTTTAGCTCCCCTGCTGCGTGGCACGCGACGCGACCGCTTCGCGCGGGAGGGAATCGCAACCGCGCTCCACCGTACGCGCGGCTTGTCGCGTCGCGGCACGCGCGAAGTTGAAGCATTTGAATTTGTTTCGGTGATATTAAGGGGAAAATTGATCGTTTTGTGACTTTTCGGGTCTTTTTTTCGCGATTTTGTTTGAAAAAGTAGTATAATATGTGGGGAATTCCCTAGTGAATGTTGATTTTAGCAGAAGTTTCCCCGAAAATATAATTTTTTTCGAAAAAAAGAATACTTTTTAGAATTTGTTTGTTTTTGTTTTATCGCAGCAGTTCCCAAAGGATTCCAGAGATTTTCGAAGTTTTCTAAGCACTGGGAATTGCTAATTTTCGAAAAAAAATTTCCTAATTTTTGAATTTTTTTTTTGCTTTCCTCTCTCTGATCGTCTTTCTTTCTCAATTTCTCTCTCCTAAAATCCCAAAACTCACCCTGTTTTTTTCCAGAAAGCACCGAAATGGCTCGTACCAAGCAAACCGCCCGCAAGTCGACCGGAGGAAAGGCTCCAAGAAAGCAACTCGCCACGAAGGCCGCCCGTAAATCGGCGCCAACCACCGGTGGAGTCAAGAAGCCACATCGCTATCGTCCAGGAACCGTCGCTCTCCGTGAGATTCGTCGTTACCAGAAGTCGACTGAGCTCCTTATCCGCAAGCTCCCATTCCAACGTCTCGTCCGTGAGATCGCTCAGGACTTCAAGACTGATCTCCGTTTCCAGTCGGCCGCTATCGGAGCCCTTCAGGTGAGAAATTGGTGCTTTTTGGGGGTTTTATGAGCTTCTGGAGTGTCAAATTTGCCCTTCGAAGCTGAAAATCGCTTTTATATGGCTTCAGAAGGTTCTAGAATCTTCCAGACAGCTCCCAGATGCTCAGAGGAGCTCTAGTACCTTCTGAACCTCTCAATCCCCTAAAATCCCAAAATTTGGTTCTGGAAGCTTCTAGATCGTTCTCGAAGCTGTAACTAGCTTTTATATGGCTCTTTAAGCTTCTGGAGCCATCTAGATGCCACTCAAACTAGTTCGGGTAGCTTCTGGACCCCTAAAATCTCAAATTTCAGCTCTGGATGCTTCTGTATAGCTCATTAAGGTTCTAGAAGATTCTGGATAGTTTCTGAATGTTCTAGAAGTTTACATATGGCTCCTGGAGGTTCTAGACCTCAAATTATCTCCAGAAGCTTCTGAGCCTCTGAAACTCGCTCTAGAAGCTTCTGAACTTCTTAACTCCCAGATATTGGCGGCTCTCGAATCTTCTGGATAGACCCTGAATGTTCTAGAAGCTTCGGAATAGATCTTGAAGGCTCTAGATGCTTCTAGACCTCTCAAGCCAGCTCCAGATGCTCCGGAGCCACTGAAACTTGCTCTAGAGGCTCTAGGACATTCCGTACTCTTGAAATCCCGACATTTGGTTCTGGAAACTTCTAGATAGCTCATAACGGTTCTAGAAGCTTCTGGATAGCTCCTGAATGTTCTAAAAGCTTCCATATGACTCCTGGAGCTTCTAGATGGTCCCTGAAGGTTCTAGAAGCTTCTGGTCAGAAAACTCCCGAGCCGCTGAAATTTGCTCCAGAGGTTCCCAGAGCGCTCTGGAGCCTTCCATACCCCTAAAACTAGCTCCCGAATCTCCTGAATCGCTGAATTTTGCCCTAGAAACTTCCAAAATTCGAAAAATCCCAATTTGCAGGAGGCATCTGAGGCCTACCTCGTCGGCCTGTTCGAGGACACCAACCTGTGCGCCATCCACGCCAAGCGCGTCACCATCATGCCAAAGGACATGCAACTCGCCAGACGCATCCGTGGAGAGCGTGCCTAAGCTCCGCCCCCCACTCGTCACTACTACAAGAAGCACAATTCCTCTTATCCATCAAACAGTATAACTCGTATTTTTAATCACACATTGTACTATAAGCTCCGCCCCCATCTTCCTCCTTTTTTTGTCCCACAGAAATAGACAAGGATCTCAATTAATTATCCACTCCCTCTACCCCCTATATTCCCCCGAAAATTGGCTTATTTTATTTAATTTTTGTTTCTTTCTGTTTTTTTCCTTTTATAGAAGAAAAACCAAAAAGAATAAATTCAAATGTGCTTCTATTTTTTTTCTGTTTCTTCTCATGGCTTTTAGTCTCCAGGCAACACCGACGGAGCATCCAGGCAACGTGGAGCCAGTCGGCTCCGTCGAGCAACTTCACAATTTCATTTCTATTCCTATTTTTGAGCTAAAATATCATGTTTCTGAGTGTGATTGGGAATAGTCATCGACGGAAGAGAATTGCGATCAGTGAGTGATTGGATTCTGGAAGATTCTGGAAAATCGATTTTTTAGATTTTTAACTTGAAAAATCTGGAAAACCCTAGTTTTTAGCTTGAAAACCCGCTTAAAATCGCGAAATTGAGCTTAGAAATTAGTAAAAATCGCATTTTTAGCAGTGAAAATAGGTTATGTGCCTTTAAATTTGAAGGATTACTGTAGTTTTCGCTTCGAGACACAAATTACGCTTAAAAATACGGAAAATATGAGTTCTTGGGCTCATTTTGAAGCTTTCTAACGTTGAAAATCGATTATTTCGCAAAAAATTGAGTTTGACAGGATCGAAATTCTAGTATGCGCCTTTAAACTTGTTTTGAGTTACTGTAGTTTTGAAATTTCACTCAGAAGCAGTCAAAATTAATCGAAATTGATCGTGTTTGGGCTCATTTTGAAGCTCTCGATGAGCGATGAATGAAAAATCTAGTCTCGCAAATATTTGAACACCATGCGCCTTTAAATTTGAAGACTACTGTAGTTTTCACTTCGCGACGCCAAATTGGCTGGAAAAACCCCGGAAAATAACGGTTTTAGGGCTTATTTTGAAGCTCTCAAACGTTGAAAATCGATTTTTTCGCAAAAAATTGAGATTGACAGGTTCGAAATTCTGGTATGCGCCTTTAAATAGTTGTTGGGTTACTGTAGTTTTGAAAATCGCTCAAAATCGGTTAAAAGCGGCTGCAATTTGTCGTGTTTGGGCTCGTTTTGAAGCTCAAAATGCGCCGAAATCAACAATTCCAGATTTTCAGCTCAGGAAATTCCAGAAAATCTGAAAATTCAATTTCAGACGTTCTCTTCATTTTTCTCATCGTTGGACTCATCGTTTTGGGCGTTTTCACCATCAAAAAACGCACTTATTTGACACTAAATTCATGGGAATTGGCTCAAGAAATCGCTGAAAATGCCACGGAGTTGGCAATGGAGAATGGGACTACTGTAGGTGGCTTACGGTGGCCTAGAAATTTCTTTTTCGACATTTCTAGGCCACCATCTCCTCCTGGTGGCCTAGAAAATCTAAGAAACCATTCCTCCTTCTTTTTCAGAACATCGACTTCGCTACCGTACTCTGGAGTGTCGGCGTGGAACTGGTGAATACGGTAAAAGTGTTGGATGGACCACCAAAACGGGATTTTCTGATGATTGTGAACATTTTTATTGGTGTTGGTTAGTGGATTTGAATTTGGGGCATTGAGAGCTTTAAAATGAGCCCAAACACGACTAGGCTCCGCCCACTTTGAGTTTTCACACTTTAAAGGCGCATAAGGGGCAGGAAATTTGAAAATCCAGGAAAGTAGGTCATGATTATACTCATTTTAAAGCACAAACTTTGACGAATAGGAAAATCGTTGTTTTGTTCAAAAATATTTGCAAAATAAGAAAGTTATGGGGAAAACAAGTTTTTTAGAATTTCCCTAAAATATTTAGTTTGCCTCATAACTTTCTTAAAATCTACAATTTTTGAATGAAACTTAACTTTTCAATTTTTCGCACTATGAGCTTTAAAATAAGTATAATCATGACTAGACTGCGCCCACTTTGAAAATTGAAGACCCCTATGCGCCTTTAAAACCAAATTTAGGAAAATTTCAAAATGGGCGGAACCTAGTCGTGTTTAGGCTTATTTTAAAGCTCTCAACGCGGGAAATTCGAAAATCTAATTTTCTTATAAACGTATTGAAAGTCATCTAAGTTATGGTCTAAATCATTGTCAGCTAAGTTTCTCCTAAACTCTTGTGAACGCCATAACTCGGTTATTTTTCAATACCTTCTTATGAAACCTTAATTTTTACATTTCTAGCACCAGGAGCTTCAAAATGAGTATAATCATGACTAGGCTCCTCCCACCTTGAAAATTGAGGACCCCTATGCGCCTTTAAACTCGAAATTTCAAGTTTAAAGGAATATTGTCATGATTATACTCATTTTGAAGCTCTCAACGCGGGAAATTTGAATTTTCTGGTTTCCAGATGATGATGTGCATGACAAATACTCCTGGTACGTTGTAATCTTTTCATTCGTCGGAGCTTTGCTCTATGGATGGAATGTTCTCCGTTTCGTCCTTTGGATTGATCATAAAGTGGAAGAATTTCTGGATGATATGTCGATTTATAAAAATGTGGCTGATCAGAACGAATTCTCCGATTTCGTGTTGGATATACGCAAGAAAAAAGCATTGGAAGGAGAAATGGTTCAAATTCAGTCGGTTCGGTTTTGTTTCAAACCATAACTTGGCCAGTTTCGAGAATTTTTGTCTAAAAATAGAATATTCGGATTTCTCGTGTTGAGAGCTTCAAAATGAGTATAAACACGACTAGGCTCCGCCCACTTTGGTTTTTCGGGATTTTTCAACTTTAAAGGCGCATAAGGGGTCCGAATTTTGAAATTCCAGTAAAGTAGGTCATGTTTATACTCATTTTGAAGCTAAAAACGCGAAAAGCTCAAAAATATACGTTTTGTTCGGAAATATTGCGACATCATAAAGTTATGATAAAATCAATAAGTTAATAAAATCTTGCAAAATTTTGATTTCATCATAACTTTGTTATTTTTGCGAATTTCTGAATGAAACTTGAATTTTCTAACTCCTTGATTTTTTGGCTTCAAAATGACTATAAACACGACTAGGCTCCGCCCACTTTGATTTTTCGGGATTTTCAACTTTAAAGGCGCATAAGGGGTCCGAATGTTGAAATTCCAGTAAAGTAGGTCATGTTTATACTCATTTTGAAGCTAAAAACGCGAAAATTTTGAAAATACGTGTTTCATTCACAATTTTCGAAAATTGAAAGAGTTATGAGAAAATCAATAAGTTAATAAAATCTTGCAAAATTTTGATTTCATCAGAACTTTGTTGTTTTTGCGAATTTCTGAATAAAATGCAGATAATCGACTTTGGTGCGTTTTTAGCTTCAAAATAAGTATAAACACGACTAGGTTCCGCAAAGTTTGATTTTCGACTTTTTTTTGACTTTAAAGGCGCACAAGGGTCGGAAATTTAGATTTTTGAGAAAGTGGGTCATGATTATACTTATTTGAAAGCTAAAAGCAAGGGGAGTTCAAAAATATATGTTTCGTTGAGATAATGCAAGTGTGAAATAAGTTATGGGGGAAATTAAAAATTGAAAATTTCCAAAAAAATTTTTTTTTTTTGAAAAACCGATTTTAGAGAGGATTTTGAAGCACTTTTAAGCAATTTTAAAATCAATTTCAAACATCCAGTTGCAGACCGCCAATCAACAGTATGACATCAAGGAAGCCTGGAACAGCTTGACTAAACGGACCATGAAGGCATTCCTACCAATTTCCCCGGCCCTACTGTACCTCTCCGCCTACGCATTCTCCCTTTTCCTACTGTCATGCTACCATACATGGATGAGAAAACCCAATGAACTAGTTGACAACATGCGTACAGTAGCCAATTTCGCCGCTGGCCTCGAATCCTCGATTTTGGCGGGAAACAAGAGAGATTTGAATTCTTATGTCTTCATTTTGGCCGGCATTCTCATTCAGATTTTGTTCTTTTTGACGTGCTACCGTATCCCGGAAATGATTGTGAGAGTGTACTGTGCAATTGTTGGCCATGAGGATACTGTACGTCCAGCGTACTTGGATTCTATCAGAGAGGTCGAAAAGGATGTCAATAAAGCCAAACTGGCCGTTGAGCCGAAGAAAATCGATTGAAAATTTTTTTTTTGATTTTTCAAAAAAACATTTTTTCTTCAAAAAATGATACTTTGTGAATAAAAAATCCCTGTTGACCTCTTTTTTTTCTCTTTTTTATCGATTTCCTACGGTCTTAAACCCGTTGAATGCCTCAATTATCGAATTTCCGGAAATTTCTCATTGGAGCGCACTTGCACCGTTTTTTTTGAATTTTTCGTAAATTTGAGTGATTTTATTGATTTTTTGCTGGTAATTTTTGTGAGGGAAGCTAGCAAAGAAAGAATTTTTCGGAATTTTAAGAAAATTTTCAGCAAAATTCGAAAAATAACGTTTTAGGTCGAAATTATCGATTTCCAGATTTTTTCTTTATTTTTTCTGAAATTTTAGACTTTTTTCTATTTTTTATCATCCTATTCCTTGTTTTTCCGCTATTTTTAAGCATCAAAATTTCTATTTCAATGCAATTTCAGACTCACCACTTTTTTAAATTTAAAATTCCCACTAATTTGCCTACTGTCCAGTGGAGCGCGCTTTCCCTTTTCTCGTTCTCTGCGTCTCCTCATTTCCCACACTCTCTCGCCGCTTTTTAAACGATTTTAACCTATTTTCAGTCAATTTTCCCGATTTTCACCCAATTTTTTGGATTTTTTCTGATTTTCAGCAAATTTTTCAGTTTTAGAGGCTATTCGTATAAACTTCAAGACCTAGTTATCGATTTTAGTGTGAACTTGTGACCCAAATTGCCACGTCATTGACCTCCACGCATCACATACGTTTTCCAGCCAACAGACCGCCCGGATCCGGAATTCAAAACATCAGAAAACGCCAAAAAATCCCAAAAGATCTAAAAAGCTCTGAAAAAGCTCAAAAATCAGCATATTGCAAGCTGAGCAATCTCTCCGAAAATGCGATTGATTTTGCTTCTATTTCGTGGGTTTTCTAGTGCAGAAAATCAATAATTTATCGATTTATTGCAGTCCCCGTATGGATAAATTGCTTCTACACCTCCAGCGATGGAATTGCTGAGCTCACTGACTCGAATTTCGATTCAAAAGTTTTAAAGAGCGATCGCATTTGGGTGGTAGAGTTTTACGCGCCTCAGTGAGTTTAGAGACTTAGCAAGTCTCGAAAATTTGCGAAAAATCGGAAAAATCGCGAAATTTCAGCTTAAAATGACCGAATTCTGAAGTTTCCAAAAACTCTGTTTGAAATTCGCGCCAGTTTGAATGCGCGTAGTCCGCAAACACCGTAACTGCGGACTTGGCAACCTACCTTACGACAGCTTGGAAAATTCATGTTTTGAGCCGTTTTTCGGCCTGAAAAGCTGAAATCGAAGCGATTTTTCTGGTATAAAATTCAAAAAATCACAAGGTATAACAGATTTAAGCTGTAAATCTAGGAAAATTGGCAAAATTACACCTAAAAATCAATGAAAATTTGGGAAAATCGAAATTTCGATTTTTTGCTTAAAAATTACCACATTTTTCGCACTTTTGGGCACTTTAACTTTGAAAAAATGCAAAAAATCGCAAAAGTTTAACCTAATTTCTAAATTTCTAAAGCTCAATTCGAAATTCGCGCCCATTTGAATACGCGCCGTCCGCAAACACCGTCACTGCAGACTTTGAATTATATTTTACGACAATTCGGAAAATTAATGTTTTGAGCTATTTTTTGGCCTAAAAAGCTGAAATAAAAGCGTTTTTTCTGATAAAAATTTGAAAGATCACGAAATATGAAGGATTTGAAAAAAATCAATTCTTTGCAGTTGTGGCCACTGTAAATCGCTGGTTCCCGAATACAAAAAAGCGGCGAAACTTTTGAAAGGAATCGCATCGATTGGATCGATTGATGGGACGATTCAGAAGGCGTTACCGTCGAAATACGGTATTAAAGGGTGGCCAACGATCAAAATATTCGGTTTGGGCGATAAATCGAAACCAATCGATTATGATGGACCAAGAACTGCAAAAGGAATTGCGGAAGTGATTCAGAAGACGATTAAGAAGACGTTGGAGGAGAGATCTGGAGGAAAATCCAAAAAATCCGAAAAATCCTCGAAAAAATCGGGAATTTCTGGAAAAGTAGTCACTTTGACGGACTCGAATTTCGAAAAATTGGTTCTGAACAGTAAGGATACTTGGATGGTCGAATTCTTCGCTCCCTGGTGTGGACATTGTCAGAAATTGGCTCCGGAGTGGGAAAAGGCGGCGAAAGCCATGGCTGGGAAGATTAAGGTGCGGAAAAGAGCCGAAAAATCAGTAAAAATGACCTGAAATGAAAAATTTGAGCAAAAAAATCGCGAAATTTCGGTCTAGAACCGTCAAAATTTGAAAAACTCAAATTCAAATTGGCGCTAGTTTGAATGCGCGTAGCCCGCAAACACCGTCACTGCGGACTTTACACTTTACCTTACGACAGCTTGGAAAATTCGTGTTTCGAGCCGTTTTTCGGTTGAAAAACTGAAATAGAAACGATTTTTCCGGTAAAAAATTCAAAAAATCAGACGGTATAACGGATTTACGCTGTAAATCTAGGAAAATTGACAAAATTACACCTAAAAATCGATGAAAATCTGTGAAAATCGAAATTTCGATTTTTGCCAAATATTACCACATTTTTCGCACTTGTGGACACTTTCGTTCTGAAAAAATGCGAAAAATCGCATAATTTTGGCCTGAAGCCATCAAAATATGTTTTTTGGCCTAATTTCAAATTTTCTAAAACTCAATTTCAAATTCGCGCCACTTTGAATGCGCATAGCCCGCAAACACCGCCACTGCGGACTTTACACTTTACCTTACGACAGCTTGGAAAATTCGTGTCTTGAGCCGTTTTTCGGCCTAAAAAGCTGAAATAAAGTCGATTTGTTTTTAATTCAAAAAATCAGAAGTTATAACGGATTTACGTTGTAAATCTAGGAAAATTGGCAAAATTTGAGGTAAAAATCAATAATAGCGCTAAAAAAATGAAGTACGCCTACAGTACCCTTTTTGCAGTTCGGTACACTCGACGCAACCGCCCATCAATCGATATCTCGAAAATTCGGAATTCAAGGATTTCCCACGATCAAATTCTTCGCTCCAGGATCAACGTCATCTGATGGAGAGGACTATCAAGGAGGGCGGACGTCATCTGAATTGATCTCGTATTCAGAATCCAAACTAGAAGACGTCGTCAATTCCAAAGATCCAGAAGTCATTGAAGGAACGTCATCTGATTCTATTCAGGAGACGTGCCAGAATCGACAATTGTGCATTTTCGCATTCCTACCATCGATTTTCGATTGTCAGGCGAAGTGTCGAAATGAGAAATTGGAGATTTTGAGAAAAGTGGCCCAGAATTTCAAAAAACGGTCGTTTGGATGGGCTTGGTTGGAAGCAGGAGCCCAATCTGATGTTGAAAAGGTCCATTTTTGCTTTAGAATGCTAATTGACCTAAAATTGACTAATTTTGTCTAGAAACACTCAAAAAATTGACTCAAATTTGTCGAAGAGGCCCAAAATTGGTCTGCAAAAAAACTGAGAAAATTTGGCTTAAAATGGCTGAAAATAGGCCAATTAAGAGCCTGCCGGGGCTTGAAATGACTGGAAATTGATATTTTCGAATTCCCCACGTTTTTAGCTTCGAAATGAGTATAACCATGACTAGGCTCCGCCCATTTCGACGGGCCCAGCACGAGGGGTCCGAAGTTTCAAATTTAAAGGAACACAGTCATGATTATACTCATTTTTAAGATCGAAACGCGGGAAATTTAGAAAATCCACAGAGTTATGGCTTGAATATTTTCAGTGAAAATTTTCTTAAAATATTGGAAAAGGCCATAACTCGACAAGTTTTGCTCATTTCTGCATAAATCAAAGTTTTCTGAATTTCTCGCGAAATGAGCTTTAAAATGAGCCCAATCATGACCTACTTTCCTCGATGTTCAAAATTCCGACCCCCTATGCGCCTTTAAAGAGGGACTCCGATCAAAAATTTTTATTGCATTAAAATGTGTTAAAAGTTTTCTATTTTCCGAATGTTATTGCGAAACAATTCAAAAAAAAACCGAAATCCCCGAAAAACGGCGTTGAAAAAAAAGAAAATTCAAAAAAAGGTGCCGCCGGGGGAAANGATGTATACAGTGAGAAACCTAGGCCACGGCAGCGGGCGCCTTTCCTACGTGGCAAATTTTCCGGATTTTTTTCAATTTCAGGTAAAAAACAAAAAAAAACCACTGTCGGCGACTTGAAAAAAAGT